AAGACCATTTAGTTGTAAATTAAATAGGTATGAAAGTGCTTAAAAAATACTAATACCTAACTTATGTAAATATAAGAAAAATAGTTCAAATTTAAAATATATATATACAAACCAGAGACCTGCAGAGGTACCAATTGCCCTGCCCGCTCCGCTCCGGATTTTTTTAAGAAAATCTTCCGCGCGGAGAATTTTTTAAAAAATTATCACGGCCAGCTCGCCTTTTTTTTAAAAAATAAAAAAAATTTTTAGCCCCGGCTTCCGCATTTTTTTTTAAAAAATGTATCATATTTATTATTGATTTTTTTAGCTAATCACGGCGATTTCAAATATTTAGTTTTCAATATATGGTCCCGCTCGGATTTTATTTTTTAAAAAAATATTCCAGGCCCTACCAGGGTATATTTTAAAAAAATTAAAAAACGGCCCGGCCCCAGCCCGACCCCTAAACCAGGTCTCTGATATAAACCTTATTTTGATTTTAAAAAAAATAAAATCAGAAGAAATTTAGAAAAATAAAATTTAAAATTAGAAGAAAAAAATGTAAATGCCATTCTTTTCCATTTGCGATCTTTCTTTCTTTCTTTCTTTTTATAAAGTTGCAAAGTTGCGGGAGAACAAAATATAAAAATCTTTATAAAAAAAAGTTTAGTTTACGAATCCCAAATCAACTACCTTTTAATTCCAAGAATTCTATATACACTTCGAGCGTCTCGGATCTTTCAATATGACGTCAACCTCGCTTCACATGAACTGGAAATTAAACGCCTAACAGAAGATATACTCAATCTTAAATTTGGGGAGATATCATGGCTACAGGCTACCTTACCAACCAAATCCGGCGGTATTGGTATAAGGTCACCTTCCCTACTTTCTGTTAGTGCGTTCATATCCTCTCGCTTGTCCTGCGAGCCATCATTCAAACGCTAACAAAACATCCTGACCTCTTACTCCAACAGGCAATTGATCTATGGAAGTCCCTCTCATTAGTCGATCCTCCATGGTCGGCATTACAGACCCTAGTTGGCAACTCCGTTGCATTCCTTAAATCGAGGAGCCAACCAGAGGACCATTCTCTACTCTTCTCCATTTCCGAAAGTAGTGGATACGATTTTCTTGAAGCCTTCCCATCCCGAAACCTTGACCTGCTCCTAAGCAATGATGAGTTACGTCACGCCATAGGTCTTAGACTGAATTGCGATATGGTAATACCTTATAACTCTATCCTCTGTCAAACGTCGGTCAACTCCAAAGGCCGTCACTCTCTACATGCAACGATACCATTGCCAGGGCCTTAAAATCCCCGGCATCCCATCAACCCTCGAACCTACTGGCCTTTACAATTCAGATGGTAAGCGGCCCGATGGTTCGACTATGATCCTTGGTAGAGGGGGAATTCCTAACTTGGGATTTCTCATGCATCGATCCTCTTGTCCCTTCCAATATAAATAGAGACGCCATACTAGATGCCGAGGCGAATAAATTAGCTAAATATTCACCATCTCTACCCGCCAATTATACATTCCTACCATTAATCGCCACAACCTTAACGTCGTTCGGCTCTCATGCCCTAGACTTCTTTAAAGGGCTAGGAAAACGGATCTCTGCTAGGACCGAGAATCCCAACGAAGGATTCTACTTACGCCAAAGATTAGCCATAAACATAGTAAAATACAATTATCTCAGCTTTATTTTTTCAATATCCGAAACTCAGTAATTGAACATTCTATATGCATAGTATAGACTTTGGCCATTTTGTTGCATATTATTATAATATTAGCGCTAAATTTATATTAATCTATAATTAATCTATGTTATTCTATTAATTTATTCTACTAATAATGTAATATTACTTAATTAATTTATATTATTTATTGATTGATTAATTCTTTTTGGTAATTTTTTTTTGAATTGATTAATTTTTGATTTCTGCGTTAATAAATTATTATATATTTTTAAAAAAAAAAAATTTTATAAAATATTAATTTATTAAAATTTTGAAAATATAAATTTCAAATTTTTTCAAATAGTTTGAATATTTATTGTAGAATATGTTAATATTCTATCATTACTAAGTACAACTACAATATTAGTTTTGTTGAGAATATTATATTTTAAAATTGTATTCTTCTCGATTTAGTGTTGAATTTGAGTGTTTCCAAAATTGGCATCTTTTTATGTTAATAGAGAGAAGATAAAAAATATATTATACAATACTTAATAGGTATAAATTTATATTACCTTAATTGTGTCCTCAATAACTACGTTCCAAAAAAAATTATACATGATTATAAAAGTTTTTAAAATCATACGGTATGTACTATCCAAGTATAACGCTATTTACGATTTGATCTCTATTTTGAATTTATATCTATATTTGTTTTTACTGGGATTTAGTCGAGGTGAATATGACGGAAGATATTAAATTAGATTTTTATAGCCATCGATAAGATGTACCGTAATTTGTTTAGCGAAGCTAATGAAATACCGATATGTTTGGCTATATCATATATCTTTACCTTTTTCCATTTCAAGTTTTGGGATAACGATTTTTTTACTATTTGATTTTCTCTTTTATTCCAACAATTATATTTTCTTTTTGGGGTTTTAAATTGGCGGTGAGTTTAAAAGGTTTATTATTGTAGAATTAGCACTAGTGCTGGAATGGAAAATGAATATCTTAGATAAAAATGAATTATCAAATATTGATGATGGAATTTGTGATAATATTTTGATAAATTATTATAGAGGAATTTCTAAAACTACCATTAGTATTATTGGATAAAATATTATTAATATTAAACATTTTTAATTTAAAAAATTTTTTATTTTGTATAATATAAAGTTTTATGAGAAATAATTTGCTTAAATTATTAAATTTTTCGTCTATTACATAAATCGAGGCATTTGTTTTAAGCACTATAAACCTATTTAATATACCATTTAATGGTTTTTGTTTTTAAAGATAACACCAAATAAAACACCTTCAACCCTGTATATAAAACATCATAATGGCGAAGAGTGGTACCAATGCAGAATGTGCCAAGGCTGAGTATATGGTGCATGTTCAACTTCGATAAATTTTTATGTGTCAAAAATGTTTATTAGATTAATCAAAATTTCAATTTTTTATTTATAATTAGCTTCAATTTATAATTACTATAATATTTTTTTATTTTTTTTTTAATAGACAAAGCATTTTATTTTTCGATTTTCATTAAAATTACAGAGGATTAAAAAATATATATTAAAATGGATATATTAAAAATTAAATATAAAAAAAATAAATATATAATATATATATAATCTATGAAGACATTAAAAAGGACTATAAAAAAATATATATATATTTTAAAAAAGGGGGGGGGGTATATATCATCCAAGAGAAGAGTGAATACTTAAAAAATAGGTAAAATCCTTCATTGGGGTCCCCTGAGATCTATCTCATTTTTTTTCCTATAATTTTAATGAAATTGAGGGCCTCGTTTCCAAACATGCCTAGGGTATTGCTAACGATAGGAATAAACATAGTGTTGGCGCGGCCAGCGTATTTATATTTTTTAAGGATTTCTGCCTTTTCGATAGCAGAAAATGAGAGGTTAGACTTGGCAGCAAAATCAACGCAAGTGTAATCCCATGTTAGCGGAAGACCATTAGACCAGAGTATGAGAGAAATACCATCCGGGCGTATGGCGTATTCGTTTGAAAGACCCACTGGTTCGAAGGTAGATGGGATATTAACTTTTTTCAGGGCGGCTAGTAAAATGTTATTGATAGATTTATGACGAGGTTGTCGTCCACGGGAGAACTTGCAGTGCAAGGGATGGTAAGCCTTCAATTCAATGGGCTGACCACAATCGATGCAGATGGAGGGAACTACGACATTACAGCCGAGGCGGAGGGCTATAGATATACGTAGCTGTTCGCCAGTCATGAGGAGGCCAAGATTGGCGCTGGGGATGGCTTCCAACCATTCTTAGCCAGAGTTTGCATTTAGTACCAAATTATTGGGATTTTCCTCAAAGGGCCTGTTCGAAATAAGATATTCAACGGAACGGGCGATCAGAGGAGCATCCCAGTCTTTTTGGGTACTGGAAGCGGGACGGCTAAGGGTGGGAGAGCAGTTGTTGTCCCAAGAGGTGAGGGCCTGTGAGAGGTCAGTATCTGAGGGAGTAGATCCATTGTCGATAATAGATTGAGCAGCAAGACGAGATGAGATAAAGGCTGAGAGGGAAAGTTGTAAGGGGGATCGGATACCAATACCACCAAACTTGCATGGAAGGGTGGCCTGGAGCCAAGATGAATTGGAGAATTTAAGATTTAATATGTTTTCTAGGAGATCCTTAATTTGGGTTTCGTCACTATAGCCTTAAAAAAATCTATGGTTTAAAAAGCCCGTCCCTTGAAATGCTTTATATAACCCCGCTATCGTAGCTTGTTGGACAAAATTTCCACATTTACAAAAATATAATATTATTAAATTTTTTTTATAAAGCCCCTCTGTAAGAGTATAGTTGCAGGTATCTATTCATATATTGTTTTTTATAATATCTTTAAAAAACAAAAAAACAGGAGTTATTAGCCGATATAACAAAACAATCTTCCTATAATTTAAAAAAACTTACTATATTATAAATGTACTTTGGTTAATCATTTAGTGATTTACTATTATTATTAAGTGGTTTAATTAAAAAAAATTCATATGTAGCTTTGATTATTTGAATTTCGTTTTGGATATTGATAGTGTTAATTAGGGATTTGATAAAATGTATATTACAGGTAACACACATATCAAAATATTAAATTGGATTTTCTTCATTATATTTTTAATTAATAAATAATCATTTTTACTTAATTAGGATCGAGAATGTAAAATATTTCTAAAGAAATATTAAATCCATAAATCAAATCTATAAAAAAAAATATAATAAAAATTTTTAAAAAAAACTTAATTAATCTTAAAACCTTATAAATATACCGTATTTTATTTGGAGGGGCATAACCTTAAAATGAGTTAGTAATTTCCAATTGGGTCTGATAAAGTATAAAATTCCGTTGAAGGCCCCTGGCAGGAAAAGACTTCTTATCAGCAAAATGGTCAGCATAACGTATGGAAATGTAGCAGTAAAATACACTATCTTTTGAGAATATTTTTTAAAAAAAAGTGTAAAGTGACAATCTGGGTTATTTTATGGGATTGTGATTTTTCGCATTCATTTTAAAAAAAAGTCAGGGGATGTTTGGTAATAAGTCCTAGGACACACCCTTAATGCTTAATAGATGTTTTAACTTAATGAACAGAGCTAGGAATTTTTAATAACTGAGTTAAAATTGTCTAAGATATCAGAGATTTCGTCACATTATTAGGATAACCAGGAAATCCAATTATTGATCGTATATTGTATACTTTTAGATATGTGTTGAAGTCTATGAATTATATCATCTAAGGTGCATGAATAAGGTGTTTAATTCAATTGCTAAAGTATAATTTAGAAATCTAATTAACCATTACTAATGATGGGATCTAAATTATGATACAATGATATTGTCCGATATTTTTTAAAGGAATAATTCCTTTTAGAGTATAAGATTTTGGCAAAGTTTTCACTTGGTGTAGCCTACGAAAGTGAAAGGGAATTATTTTCATCCTTCCCTTACTATCAGGACTCGAATAGATTATTTGATAAATTTTACAGTTTTTTTGGAAAAGGATCTGACATTAAGAGAAAATATAATGAATCCATACAGAAATTTTAATTTTAAAAATTGTATTTTTTATAATTATATAATATATTTTCAAATTAAACAACTTAAAAAACTTATTATTTAAATTTTTTTCATATTTAAACGCTGCAAATTTTTAAAGATAATTGAAGCAATTGTCCTATATATATGCTTGCTGTTTATGTTGCATTCAAAGAGGAGAAAAGGATACCATGTTCATGTCATACATTTACATTTGTTTTTGTTTAATTGTTTCCCTGAAAGAGCTTTAAGTATAAATAGTGTAAAAAAGATGGTATACAATATCTTGAATCTGCAGTAAACAGCAAGCTAAGTCATTCCATTAGGTAAGACATAAAAATGAGATATGGAAACTCGGTATATATCATGATACAAAGTTTTCTAAAAATCATATGATGAAATACAAGTTTACCTGTGCTTAACATACAAGAATTAAATAAATTATCGACCATTATATAAATATTATGTACCAGTTAGATATTCTTTTTTCACTATTTAAAGAATGCTCAGATAATCTGAATGCAGATCTCATCCTACTATAAATAAAGTTTATTTATGGAAACAACTATGAAAGAAATTTTGTCAACCTTCAAAAGGTGATATAGTAAAAAAATCAAAATTCTAAGAAACGGAATAATATCTCTTTTAAAGGAAAGATTTTTTTTTATGCTTAAATAAAATTTCAAAAGTCTTAAGTTTTGTAACAGATGATGAAAAGGCTGATATATTTATATAAATTTTAAAAAAATGCTAAATAATTAAAAATTCGATGATATGCATAAGGCAAGCCTCGAAATCTTCTATACGTTTAGACCTTTGCTCCTTCTATGAACAAAATTTTCGGGCTTGCATAATATTTTTCTGGATAAAATATTAATGCCACCAACTATAAATTTCCAATTTTTCTAATTCATCCTACATTTTAGAGAATTTCTAGATTATTCTAATTCTGATGAGGCGAAAACACCTATCAATTAAAGTTGGCTTCCAGTGAAAGATTGTTTCTCTATAGTCCAATCGCTTATTAGAAGAAAACGAACACGATTTAAAATGAACATTTTTTTGTAAAATAAAAATTTTGATCTATAAATGGTAATTCATGTTGTTTGTTATTTAATATGAATTTAAAGAAATAAAAAAAAAAAACCAAAAATAAATTCAAAAAAAAAAAACCGTTAAATTTAGCTTGAGAAATTTGGGGAAAAAAAAAATTTAAAAAACCGTAAATTTTTGGGGGGCGATCATAATTTTGTCTTTCGTGAGCGGGCAGCTCGGGTCAAAAAAATTTTTCGGCAGCAAGAATGAAAGGACGTAAATTTTATCTTTGCCACCGTTAGCGGGAGAGTCGGGAAATAATTAGGTCCGGTCCGCCTCTAATTGTAATATATCTTTTTAGATTAATTATGGAGGAGGTCGTAGTAAATCGAATAACTTACATGTTAGAAAGTATATACATAGACAAGAATTAATAATAAAGATTTACCCCCTTTTTCATAAAAAAAAAAAAAAAGGAGAGATATTGAAAGATGTCAGCATTTAGAATTAATTTTAACAGATAAAAAGCAGTGGAGGAAATGATTCGCAAAAATCTTGCGGAGGATGAGTTGTGATTTAACCAAATATCATTGATTCAAATATGTTTCCTAGTGTTTTATAAGTGGTTCGACTCTCGCAGATAGCAAAAAAAAATAACATTGCATTACATTATATAGTCTCCTTAAATTTTAAATACATTAGGGAGATACGAAAACGATCGGTTTTTGATTATGGAGATTATTGTGTCTTAATATTCTTGTTACAGTGGCCGTATATGAAATATCATAGATGTTTTTCCATATTAAAACTGTTCAAAGATTATTAATGATAGTTTTTATGCATCAACAGCGATTGCCATTAGCAATTATTCTATTGAATGTAACTTTAAAAGATACAGAAATGCTCCAGCAAAAAAAAAATTAAAATGGAATTTAAGGAATGGCATTTCTTTTTTTAAAAAAATTTGATAGTTTTAAGAAAATTTTCGAAATAAGTTGATTTAATATATAAAAAAAATCAGATTTAAGGGAAATCAAAGTTTTTCAGAACTTTCAGTTGCGACCCAATGCTCAAAATCTTCCTCGATTTGGCTTCTATAGCTTGTTTCATCGCGAAATGAATATGTATATCGTCGAAAAAAATTTAGTAATAATATCAGGGATATATCTAATGGATTTTGTAGAATGTTTCGAATTATGTAACTATATTATATGTTATATTAGAATTCATAAAAAGCCTATTATCTTGCTACGTTATTATACATAATAAAGAATCAAAGTCTAACCTTTCCCGTGGATTTAATACCCTTTATCAAGCATAGGTATGCTATGATCCATGCCAGTATGAAATATCCAGCTAATTTCCAATTCATGGTTCCCATGTGATGAAGCCCTTCGGATACGTTTAGTACCTTATAACTAATTGATTTAAAACAAAATATAAATGAAATAAATTATTATTTAAGTAAAGGAATTAAATATATTATATATTTTTTAAAATACTTAGTAGAGATCTGCAAAGTTAGACCCGGCCTGTATCCGAGCTCGGCCCGACCTGAACGAGCTACGGGCCGGGCTCGGGCCTAATTCTATTTAAAGTAATCGGGTTTGGGCCGGGCCTAATATTTTTTAAAAAAAATTTCGAGTTCTAGCCTGGCCGGCAAAACTTATTTTTAAAAAAAAATTAGCAAGGGGTCTGTGTCCACCTCCCTTTCTCATTCCGCACATATCATGTAATTGAAATCGTATGAAGTCAATACGGCAAAACATTTCGGCTAATGAATTATCGCGAATGTATTACCGCGAAAACAATATCGCGAATGCATCACGGGTCTATAATAGATCATCAATTAATATATTTATATTTTCAGGATATTTTAATTTTGTTATCTTTTGGGATTGCAAGTCCTATAATATTTTTCCACCTATTTCAATATTTCTAAACCTATTTAGAAAAGGTTCCAAGAAGCTGAGATATGGACTGATTCATAGAGAGAAAGATCATCAAATAATACTTTTTTCATATATCCAATTATTAACTTAAAAAACGCTATCACTATACTCAATGCTCTAATAAAAAAATTAATGAGATCAGCTAGATTAATACAAATAACAACTATGAAAATGAAATGATTTGCTTTAAAAATTCCCTTTAATAATTTTTAAAATTTATTTATACATATTTTCAAATCAATTAAACAACAAAAGTATCGAAATAGAATATTTATAATAACAAATTATAAAGTAACGAGTAACGTAAAAACGTAAAGTGTTTTACAAAAAAACCTTCATGGGATTTAATTATTTGGGGTCTCGCATTCGTGGTCAGGTTGAAAAGGTCTTATCAATAATTCAATATTTCTGTTTTTTTGTAAAATTATGTAAAGTAAATCGTTAATAAGGTTTAAAAAAAATGTGTATACGAAATAGGAAATTATCGGGAAAAGGAAATAAGAAATTTTGTATATTACCAGGAATTGTTCTATAGAGTGTGCACAAGAATAAATGTAAATTTAATGTAAAAGTTATTTTTTATCATTAATTTAACTAATCCTAATTAAGTGGGTAGTTTAATTATTTAATAAAATAATGCACATTAGTGATCTACATCGGGCCCTAATTTTTCAAGCCAGGCCCGGCCCGAATTTATTTAAATATAGAAATTAATTTTTATAATTACTCAAAAATAAAAGACATTATGCTATATGGCGTTAAGTTTCAAATAAATTTAAATCAAACATTTTTATTTTACATAAAAAATTCGATGGGAAATTGATAAATTTAGATGTATTTAAAAAAAAATTCCAAGGTCCAGCCCGATTCGGCCCTCTAATACACATAAAATGGATAGAAAGTAAAAATGTTAATAATTTTAAGTTACAATGGCAGGGGAAAAAGTGAATGAGATAACCGCGAGAGTTTTTTAAAAATAATTTTACGAATAGTAAAAAATATGTTAATCATGAATAAAATCAGAGAGGTTAAAGGATCTAGATACAAGTATCTAGATTATGTATCTAGATATAAAAATGTGGTATCTGTATCTAGATATTGATTAAAATATTTGTATCTAGATATTATTTTAGACGATATATCTGTATCTAGATCCATTTAAAAAGTATCTTGTAACAACTCTGAATAAAATAGATGTGTATATTTAAATTGATATTTTTTTGTAATGACTTAGTGGTGAGAAAAATGCTAGTTAATTTGTTCTTCTTTAATCTTTAATATATAGTACAAGAGTGTAGCATTGGAAAGATCGTTGGCAAGAAGATAAGTGTAATATTTTTCGTTTTTCGAGATAGCTAATTGTTTCTATTGGCGAGGTTGTGCCCAAAATGCTTTTGGAAAAAAACCTCATGATTTAAAAATTTTGGGCAAATTAAAAACAAAACAATCTGGCACACAGCCAAGTTTTATAAGGCTGTGTCCTAAATATTTTTAAAAAAAAACCTCAAAATTTATAAATTTTCGCAAATTAATAAAATTATAAAATATGTCGGATATTTTCCATCATTTTTTTTTATAAAAAAAAACAAACAAAAAAAATGATTTAAAACAACCAAAAAAATGATTTAAAACATCCAAAAAATTGATTTAAAACAACAAAAAAAATGATTTAAAACAATCAAAAAAATGATTTAAAACAACCAAAAAAATGATTTAAAACAACCAAAAAAATGATTTAAACCAAAAAAATGATTTAAAACAACCAAAAAATGATTCAAACAACCAAAAAATGATTTCAAACAACTATTCTATTTTTTACATTAAAAATAGCTTATGTTAATTTTGGAGAATATTATAATTTTTTGTTGAATGAAATTATTTTGAATGCCGATAATAACTAAGTGAGAAAAAAAAATATACGTACCTAGTAGATTTTAAAATGTGTAGAAATGAAATTTTTTTTTATGTGATCTTTGCAAGGCAGAATTTTTTTAGAGGAGAGATAAAAGATTTTTTTTTGTGTTAGTCTGATATTTGGGTTACTAAATAAATATAATGAATTTATGGGTAGCAAATAGTGAGAGGTAATTAGAGGGAAGATTTTTATTATTTCTTTGTTGTAGACAGAGCAATCATTAACAATACTGGTGAGCGAGTTGATATTTTTTAGTAAGGCATGGATGTACGGCTTTCCCGAGCCCGGAGCGTAGAAACACCAGATCCAACAGGGAAGATGGAGCACAGTGGTACTTCTGTAGGTGCTGTTTGGTTCAGGGTGTGGGAAGGACATTTAGAACGACTTTCCGCAGGCGGGATTACCAAAGAGACAACTAAAATGGGTCGGAGGTCATGGCTTCACCATGAAACGTCGTTGAAACCTAAGTAACGTAAACACGGAGACTTTTTAGAGTCGATGAAGACCCAACAAGGCAATTCATCGGCCAAGGAGAATATTTGGACCTCTGGGTCGAGCCGCAGGAGTTGGAAGAGCTATCGGCAATATTGTCTGTAGGGACTCTTCCCCACTGGAAAATCTTGGTTTTATCGGTGCGAGAGGTGTCATAAATGCATATATGATTTATAGATTTATACGTTATTTTGGGTATTCGTAGGATGTCCCATCATCCAGGTGAATGAATTCTTTATTTTGGTAATTGAACTCAATTTTGAGAATCATTGCAAATCGCGTTTGGCCTTGTGTAAGGATTTTATGTTATTATTTATATTATGGGATTTTATATTATTTGTGATTCCTCCTTCGACACATAACACTAATTTAACGAATTCCCTCCTTCTAGAACAAATATAATTTAATAAATTCACTCCTTCTAGAACAAATACTACTTTAACGAATTCCCTCCTTCTAGAACAAATATTATTTAATGAATTCACTCCTTCTAGAACAAATATTATTTAATGAATTCCAGAACTTTTTACTACAATTAATTTATCAAGTTCTAAATTTAAAGGTGACCCAAAATCTACCATTTTATAGTCGATTCCGCTTAGTGTTATAAAATTACCTAACTTTGACCATCTCAATTACGGATTGCGGATTAATCAAGCTTTTAGCGTAAAAAATTGAATTAAGCCTCAAATTTGAGTCTCAACATGAACATTGATTGGAATATTTTTGGTTAGAAAGATGGCCACGTTGTTTTTATAGTTGACTACAGTTAGGTTATTTAACGACACTAATTCCGCTTAAATATAAATAACGCAAATAAAATAGTTCACTTCACGTAAATATACTACAGATAAGCAAAATAAAATATAAAAAACCCAAAACATATGTATGAGCTAGTGTTGTTGAACCTCTCGATTTGATCCTATTTTTAAAAAAACTACCAACTCTATATTTAACCTTAGAATAGTATTACGCAGGCCCGAAGATTTTGCTCATAGATGACAACAAAGGTTTATATATCAATTAGCGAAGTCTAGAGGCTTAGGCAACATTTTTCTGGCTAAAATCTTGAATTAGATGACATATATGATAACTATATTGGCACTGATTTTCTGTTAATCCTGTTTAAAAATTTATAATATTTATTTTTTTTTTTCAAGTATTTTGCCCGATCCCTATTATAGGTTCATTTTTAGGGTTCTCACTTGGTCCGTTAGCGGCAATAAATATAAAAATGAAATCACCACCAAATTATATACCCGATATTTGTGATTGCATGCGAACGAATTCGTGGCGATGTTTCAGCGGTATTAGAAAATGCATTCGCGATTATGCTTCCACGGTTATACATTCGTTGTGATGTATTTATTTCAAGCAACGATTATGTCAGGAGGGTTCGAACCGAACCCGATGAAGAAAAAAACCCCGGGTTTTGGGGAAAAAAAATTTGAAAACGAACCGAACCTGAACCCTGTTTATAAAATTGTCAAAACCCCGAAACGAACCCGAGAATTGTATTCGAACCCGGGTTTAACCGGGTTCAACCGGGTTCAGTGTATTGTTTAAATTAATACAAGATATTCGTATAATTGTAAATTACAAATATTATCAATTTACTTGACATTTTATAATATTTTCAAATTTCCAATTAAGTGAAGTGTTAATAAATTTTAAACAACTTAATTCATGTACTTCCATTTTTAAATTTTATTTAAAATTTAGGCTCAAAAGATTCCTATAATGGATCGTTAAATAAATTTTAAACCATTAAATTCAATTACTTCATTTATTTTTTAATTTTTTTTAATTTATTCTCAAAGATTATGAATTGGGAGGGAAATGAAAGTGAACAAGTTCAAAGTAAAAATTATTATAAGATATTCATATTATTAATTTTAAAAAAAATACGTATAAATAAAAATTTTTTAAATCTATACATAACTACGCTTTGTATTTTTAACTATATTTTTGCATATAAATAAAATAAAAAAATTTATTTTTTATACCAAATTTATGTCTAGTTTTTTAATTATGATTTAAATATAGAGTATTTTTTTTTCAATTCAAAAATTCTTAAACTCGAGCTGAACCCGGAACCAAACCCGGTTCAAAATTTCCTCGAACCGAACCCGAACCGACCGAACCCGAACCCGGACAAAAATTTTGCCGGGTTCGCATTCCTGCTCACAGTGATGCATTAACGGTAGTATATTCGCGGAATTATCTTTTCGCGATAATCGACATTCACGATAATTTTATCTCCCTCTGTAGTTTAGTTTAGATATGAAATAAAATAGAATATAAAAATATATTAACTGCCAAAATTCGAAGGTTGAAGTAGATCTACTCCTTAGATCTCCAATCATGGTTTCATTCCTGTGAACCTGATCTTTTAGCACGATACAGGAAGGAGAATTCCATTCGTGATTGCACTGACTCCAGGGAAGCGTCGAGGTGAATGAAGAAAATAAGTAAAACAGTATAAAAGCGACGATTAAATTGTAATACACATTGCAGATAGTTGTAATGACCAGGGTTCCTATCCCAACACCTTTTAATTTATTTTTTTTAAATATCTATTATATGGATAAAAACTCTTAATTTTACAAAAAAAAAGAAGGTGGTAAGGGAGTTTATTTAAAAAAATATATTCCAGAAAAGTAGGAAACTCTCAAAGTTGTTAAAGGATTCTAGATACAAGTAACTAGATCCCGTATCTAGATATAAAAATGTGGTATCTGTTTCGATTAAAATATCGGTATCTAGATATTAATTTTCAGACGATGTATCTGTTTTCTAGATCCATTTAAAAAGTATCTTTTAACAACTCTGGCAAACTATAAATAAAAAGTTTTTATAAAAAACATTAATTTACTAAGGTATATACCTCTAAATAGTGGACATATGTCCCACACTTTGATGGCGCCTTTATTAGAAAATTGACCCAGTGAAACCTCGAGAAAAAAGAGTGGAATTCCGCAGGCAAATAACATCAAACTGTAAGGGATCAAAAAAGCACCTTTTTTAAAAAAGTTGTATTTAAATATTCATAAAATAATGCAAAAAAAAATTAAATCATTTTATCTTTTCTTTTCTTCTTTCCGATTTCTTCGTTGGTAATAAAATGTAAGATTAAGTAAAATATTTTATACGTATTCCTGGAAATAGGCCTTTAAATGAGAGTTTATAAGATACAGATTATTTGTTGATTGTCAAATGCCTCCTATGCCCCTTTCTCTCCCCGAAAAATGTGAATATGTCATAAAATTAATATATTTTAAATAAGTTAGAAATTACTTTTTTTTTCGAAAAAATAACTATAAAAAATTTAACAAACCAAAGATCTTCCAAGCGGGCATAAAAATTCATAAAATTAATGTGTGAATTTAAAGAAAATCCTGGATGTGTCTTATGAATGCTCTATGAATTTAACATGTTACAGTTATATACTTCAAAAATATTTTTTAAAATTTGTATTTGCAACCTTCTTTACCACGTATTCGCGACGAAATTATACAAAATATGCTGTATTTTTTGTGTTTTTTAATAGTATATATTTGCGCTAACTCCGAAATTCAGAGAAAGACAACTTGACATCAAAGTCATTCAATTCATTTTATCCAATCTTCATAAAACTTTACTTGATATTCAAGAATGAGCTGTGTTTAATCTGATTCCGACATTTTAAAAAAATAAGGGAAGGCAATAAATATAGAGAAGGAAAGGAAATTTAAGTGAAAGATAAAAGAAATTATAAGAAATAATTCTACTAAAAAAATATCACAATTTGTACCTAAAAAAAATATAAATAACAAAATAATTAATATTCATAAAAATTTGGACTTAATAATTTTCTTTTGCCCTCTATATAACAAACTATTTTTAAATAGCTGTCTAAGAGGAATGCTAAGTTCTTCTTCAAAAATCATAGACTAACCCTTTTACAGGGTTTGCTTGGCCTAAATGTAACTTGATATTAAACAATTTAAAATTTGGGGAAATCATAATATGTAATAATGAATGAAATGTATATAAATTTCTTTTGTCGTTACTTTAAATATATTAGTTATTTCAAATTTAGTTACTTTAACGAACGATACTATTTAAGTATAAAATGCAAAATTGATCATAATTATTGGTGCCTGTAAAATAATCGAAGAAAGTAACGTCGTTTACTAACTGAGTTACTTATTCTCAGGAACAGGAACGCCATTTGTTGCTTGTTTACATAGACGCATTAATATTCAGCACCATGCGGGTATTTTTTTTAAAAAATTTAGGCCAGAGGATCTTAAAAAAAAATTAGGGCCATCCAAGGACAATTAAAAAAATAATTTTAGGCCCGGTCAGGGTTTATTTGATGATATATTTAAATTACTACTTTTTGTAATTAAATTACAATTACAAAAAATAATTTAATCCATTATACTCTAAACTGAAAGGAAGAATGTCTATTATCATTTACTTGTAATATCAATATTAAAATCATAATTCTAAAGTATACATAGACTTATTATAAAGAAGATATAAAAATTGAATAGGTTCATGATATTTAACCCTTTATTCATAATGTGATAATAAGAATGTTTCGGAATTTCATAGTGCTACAAATAAAGCTAGCCATCATATCTTTGAGTGATAACATTTTAACTTTATTATTGCTTTAATGATCAGTCTATTTTTTATATTATAAGTAGTATACTATGTTTTCGTGAAAGAGACATTTCTAGCTCTTATCATTTGTGTAAAAAAGTTCTAATGTAGAATTTGCAAATAGTAAATTTTAGGCAAGGAAATTTTAGGGAAAAATTTACATTTTCTTAGTCCGTGCAGTATTTGCTATAAAGAGAAATTGACCCTTCCTCAAAAACTGCCCTTATTCCCCCTAAAAATCCCTTCCATATGCCAGGATTTCATATGTTTACCTCCTCCGTTCCTATAGCATAAATAAGGAAATCGCCATATGTTTCCTACCCCCACAGCGTACCCTATGAGAGAGAATATAAAATCTAGTTGACGATTCCAGCTCGGACGAGATCCTCTGCAATCATCATCATTGGTTTGAGCTGTTGAATCGAAAATGGCGCCCGAAGGAGTTACTTCTTCGGATTCTATAGAATTAGTCATTCTAAAATTAATTTTTCCAATTGAAAAAAAAAAGATTATTTTAAAAAATTCTCATTTAGTTTCTATTTAATTTTTTTTGATAAATATAATCATAGAGAAGTAATCATTTCTATATATCTTATTTATTTAAAATTGAATTCTTATCCTATATTCTTCCATTTTTCAATTCTTCTATGCCGATAAACTTCAGGACAAGGTGAACAATTAATAAGCAAATATTTTGAAACATTTAGCGATTGTAGTGTTGTCAAATTAACCTAACGTTTAGTCAACTTATAAAACAGCGTACCTATGTATTTATCCAAAAATATTCCGATCAATCTTCAAGGTGAGACTCAACTTAGAGGCATATACTTTAGTTTTTTTTAGGCTAAAAGCTTGACTATACCACCTCACGAGATGGTAAAATTTCGGTACTAACAACACTTATCGATTGATTGAGGATGATTCGATTCAAATATAGGTAAAATGCATTGTATTTTTTTTTTAAAAAGATTAAAATTTTTATTGTTACTTATTTGGGATCGGCTGGAATGAAAGGCGTGCCATGAGGGTCAGATTGTTTTAATATTTTTTTATCCGAATCAATTTATAGGACAAATTACATTTTTTTTGCAAAAAAAATTGAAAAATAAAAATTTGTATTTTATTTTAATTTTTTTTTCTAAATTTCAAATTTTTTTTAAAGAAATTTCCTAGGGCAGAAAGAATTTATGTTTATTTAAATTTTGTATTTTTTTTTTGTCTTTTTGCATTTTTTTGGTTTTTGTAATAATAAATCAAACCTAATTGAATTACAATACCAAATGTATTAAAAAAGATTTTAAAATAGTTTGAAGAATATTATTTTAAAAAAAAATTTAAAAAAATTTAAAAAAATTAATATACAAAGTTATGAAGTTAACGAAATCACAGCCAGAAAATTCGGCTCAGACTCAAGTCGACTAATTGATTCGAAATTTATTTATTTGTTAGCGTTGTTAAACGGCTGAGCCAAGCCGGCTTAGCCCCCTTAACTCAGCTTGTTTCAGAGTCAAAAACTGATTCGGGCTCAAGCCTAAAGGAAGATCCCATAATTAAAAAAAAAGGTCTACGACACTTATTTCATAGGTATGGCAAACTTTTGTTATTTTTCTACCGAATTGTGAATACGATATTGCAACGAGTATATTAATCTGCAAGAGTACGGCCCGATAAAATAACAACCAAATATTAATTTAATTAAAAATATTAATTTTTTAAAACCGCAAATTATTTCAAAGAATTTTTAAAAAAAAATTGAAAAGATCTTAAAATTTACATATTTTTAATATATTATAATGTAATGTTATTAATAATATTTTTTCTCTCAAAAGAGCAATAAATCAATCAAATATCTCATTTTCAATATTATTTTTTAGCCATTCGTAAGCCTTTCAAATTATAGACCTTGCTATTATTTAATATTTTGGTTATAAAATAAAATCCATGCTTTTTAAGTTTAATGTAAAAAAAAAATAGGCAAATTTATAATTTGTAAATAAATTAAAAAATAATTTATTTTTTAAAAAATTAAATAAAAAATATATTATTTTAGCTACAATATAAATATAAAAATTTTTTTCTCAAATTCAATAGGGTTTATGAAGCCCAGGTTGTTGGAAAAATTCTTGCTATACGGTCAAAATAATAGAGTTCCATTTGTTAACTTTATTATTTATATATGTTAGCGGCAATGTGTTTTTTCCGGCAATGTGTTATTTTTTCAACTTTAAAACAATATTTTAGCTCGTTTTTTTAAATTTAAAAATCTGATTTTACCGAAAATGAATTACAGCATGTTTGGAATATCTATCTTATGAATTGTAGAGAATTTTACCTTTAAATTTTGAGTTAATTATAATTTATATGAAAAATCTATGGAAGAAATAATATAAATTATATTAGGTTCAAAAGCTCATGATAAAATTATCTGAATTTCTTAGGGTAAGTATTCCCATGCTGGAATTCATTTCCGGTAAAATCAGATTTTTAAATTTAAAAAAACGCGTTTAAAAATTGCTTTAAAGTTGAAAAAAATAACACATTGCCGGAAAAAGCACATTGCCGCTAACATATATATTATCACATATTTGGTTTATTTTTGGATTAATAGTTTTTAATATAATAATTAAATAAAATATTGTAAGCGAAGAGAACTAACGAGACAATTTTTTATTTTTTTTTAAATTGGTTATCAATTTAACAAAATTATAAGTTAAAATGAAAATATTTAACCAAGATTTTTTAAAAATATAATATAAAAAATTTTTTTAAATTGTCTAATTTTTACTTTCTTTCTAACACTTTTTTATAAAGTAATAATATAAAAAAATATATATAATTTTAGCCATTAAATGGAAATACCTTTAAAATCATTCAAAAGTTGTTAAAAGATACTTTTTAAATGGATCTAGATACAGATATTTTAATCAAAAATCTATCTAGATATCGATACAGATACCACATTTTTAAATCAAGATATCCTTTAACAACTCTGAAACCATTTAAGTAATCGAGTTTCATAAAATTTAAAATAAAATTACAATAATATATATATTTTTTTAAATCTTCCAAACCCCCTCCTATAATTGGTAAAGGGTTGAATTTAAATATTAATTTTTTTTTAAACTAATTCCTTATATCAAAAATATAATGAAATAGGGATTGCTAGGTTTATAATATTGTTGTTAAATGGCTTTTAGCCAGAAAAAATACTCCCTAAGCCTCTAGATTTAGAAAGTTTATGTCTATATACCTTTGTTTCTTCTATGAGCAATATCTTCAGGTTTGCGTAATATTTTTCTGGATAAATTGAGTTAGCCGTGAGCGCTTACAACACTAGGTTATAACTGCTGTTTATAAATATGCGCATTCTTTATTTAATTCAATTACAAATAACAAATAAAAGTAAGCGGTATTCAAGAAAAATTAATCGTAAGATGTATCTTATTTTTTAATATTTTCTTAAAATGTGTATAAGTTATTTTAAAAAAAACTAAAATATTTAAAAAAATATCCATTACAAAAAGTATACTTGACTGGAGTGGAAGAAATTTTTTAAATATATTCATATTTATAATTAAAATTAGGCATGTGTGAGCTACCTAAGAGTTCTGGAGGGCCGTTCATGTGGCTCAACGAGAGGAATTTTCTAAAAGGATCAAAATGTATATATATATATTATAAGGTAAAATATTTGTTGATATTGAAGATAGAAATATCAATAATCAACTCGAACGATTCAAAGATGATGTTCGCTGGCCCTCAATATATAGTTATAGTAAGAAATCCTGGCCAGGCCTATTATTTTTTTTTGTAAATCAGAGCCGGAAAAAAATCGGACCATGCAAATGACACCTCTCTCTTTCTTTCTCTCTTTCTTTCTTTCTTTCTTTCTTTCTTTCTTTCTTTCTTTCTTTCTTTCTTTCTTTCTTTCTTTCTTTCTTTCTTTCTTTCTTTCTTTCTTTCTTTCTTTCTTTCTTTCTTTCTTTCTTTCTTTCTTTCTTTCTTTCTTTATCTGATAAAAAAAATTTTTTATTTAATCTAATTATCTTTAGCTTAAAAATAGTAATGATTTGTATTTATTTTCTAATACCTATAAAATAAATTATAATAACAACACTAGTTTTACTCACCCATTTGCGTCAAAAAACTTTAAAAATAACGATCATGACAATTGTCACTTATCAATAGTACATCTCTTCACTGAAATTTTAATTTAGCATGTTTAGAACCTATATTTATAAGGTCCGTGAAGTTGGCCCCACACTTTTGTATTTTTATTAGTTTATCAGTTGCACTGATTTTTACCCCATTTTTATCGATTTGTACCGTTTCAAACTCGATTTGTACTATTACCGTTTTACAGCTATTGACCGGTAAAAATATGGCGCCAAAAAAAAACACTCGAAATTTTTTTTAAAAAAATTTCTTTAGGTATAACGATAGCGAATTTTTTTCTCTTCCTAATGATGCCTCAAATTAAGCTTTATCTTCATTATTTATTTCGGAAATCAAATTTTAAACCTTATATTATAGCGTGAAGTTATTCCCCCCCCCCCCCGATATACAAAATTTGAGATTTTTCGAATTTTTTAAACCGGGATTGATTTGTAGATTTTTATCGATTTGTACAGTTTCAAACTCGATTTGTACTATTACCGTTTTACAGCTATTGACCGTTAAAAATATGGCGCCAAAAACACTCAAAATTTATTTTTTTAAAAATTTTTTTAACTTAAGGTAATTTTTTTCTCTTCCTTATGATGAAATATGAAATTTTTTTTTAAAAAAATTATATATCATTTTTTGCTATATTTATTTTTTTCCACATTGGTTTATTAAGAATCAAATTTACTATATTATTTTAATTTTAAAGAAAAAAATAAAAACACCTTATATAAATCAATAACGTTCAACACTCTCCCATAATTATCCAATAATATATAATATATTAAATTACATAAATATTATTACTTAGCTCCTGGCTAAAATCTTAGGAAAAGCCCGAACCAGCGTGTTAAAACTTTTTTTGGCCGTCACATTATTTAATGTCAGTTTCTAATATTTCAATCTTTTTCCCTTGTCAATTAAGGCTCTATGGCTATCTATTTCTATAACTGTAATGTGATTTAGTTATTTCACATAAAAATAACTGGAGTTTTGAGGCATTTTACAATTATAAAGATTTCAAAGTGCAATGTTTGATTGCTCAGAAGTTTCTAAAATCATGTTATCCTTATCACCCACGGGGTAAAAGACTAGAGGCAAAACAGAGAGCATGCATCAGATTCTGGAATCTACCTTGGCCGCAGTTAATTTTGCATACTAATCTTCGGCAAATGCATCTTCCCCCCCCATTTGAGTCTCACTGAACATAAATAAAATAGAAATTTATTCATTAAATGGGTAAACCCTCAACTTTAGCTGGTTATAAAAATCAAATGCATTTTAACCCCAAATTACAGCTCATCGATCTA